CTGTCCATCATTCTCCCACGGGTGGACTGGAACCTCTGGAGATGGGACTTTTGGTTTGCAGTGATAATGCCCCCAGAGCTCGTGGAAAGATGTGGAAATCCTGAAGGGCAGTTCTGCTGTGAGACAGCACTGACTTAATGGTAACCGGTTTGGTTTTTATGGTAAACATGAGCAGACTCCAGGTGTTCTTGTGAACCCCATAAAGCAAAGTCGTGTGACAACTATCCATTCCATCTTTAAAAAGCCTTCTCCCAGAAACACCACGTGACAGCCTTTCTCCCCCCAGCTCGGTGCACAAACACAAGACAAGCACAGAAGTGGGAGTGACATGCTCCTCCTGTTCCAGTCAGATCCAACTTGACAGTAAACACACACAAAATAATAAAAGAAATTAAATTAAAAACAAAACAAAACTTAAGAAGTGGGAGTGGGCTCCTCCCTAAAAGTGGGGCAACAGATTTTGGCCTCTTCTTCAAATCACAATCTACAACTATTAAAAGCAGTTAAGCAGTGCTAGCTACAATATCTTGCTTCTAAGAACTTCCTCATTATTTACCATATGGATTTGAATACTATTAACACAAATCACTAAAATGAAAAGGTGAGACATATACACACACAAGAAAGGAGTTCTGGATTACTTTGCAGTTTCCAAAATACCTGAAAACCATAGGCTGGTAAAAATGCTGATGTCAAGAAAACTGATGCTCTACATTAAAACAAGCAAAGCAAAATGTCCTTACATCTGAAAATTCAAGTTCTAAACTTTGCTCTTATCGGCTTGCTAAAACAGCCTTTAAGCAAATTCTGAGTTTCCATCCCTCTAATTTTTTAATTAGAAAACCAAAGAACCAAGAGTCAGTGAAGTATTTTATTAATGCAGATTCTAAAAATGCAGTTAAAACCCAGATGAACTGAAATAGAAAACTAGGACTACAGCTGAAAAGCTCTCAAATTCACTGCTGTGAAGTGACTCAGGGCTGGCCCGCCAGTGTTTTCAGAAGATCTAAATGCTACTGGAAGAAACTGCCCATCTCTCTCCCTTGGAGAAGCTGGTGGATTTGAACTGCCAGCCTTGGGGTTGGCTGCATGACCCCTTAGCCACTCGGCCACAGCTTACTAAGAACACTCCTTTTCTCATTGCCTTCGAGTTGAAACCAACTCAGAGCTGATCCTACAGGATATAAGATGGTCGTTTCTGTTGTCCACAGTGACAAAAGCTTTTATTTCTATCTTTTCAAAGTAAACATTCCTGACTCCTATTATTACAATCTCTGGAATCTAGACAATACAGGTAGTACTCAGCTGCATTCAGCTGTCAACTAACAGCTCAGCAGTCGGCACCCACCAGCCACTCTGTAAGAGGAGGTGTGGCCGCCCACCTTGTGAATTCAGGGCTGGACGCCCATGGGCAGCTCTACTCTGCCATGAAGGTGATGGAGTAGGAACTGGCTTAAAGGCAGCGGGTGTGGTTATCATTCACAGTCAAGGGAGCTTTTCCAGGTCGACACCCTTCTCATTTAGCATGGTACTTCCCCCAGGCATCACTTGGTGAACGTCATGATCACTACTCATGCAGATGATACTCTAGTTTTTGTGACTGCTAGGTGCCACTAAGCTGACCACGACTCCTGCTCACGACTCCTTGACCAATGGATCTACACCTTGCCCTGTCTGGGGCAATCTATCGTCTCTAAAATACCTGAGCCCACTGTTACAGTCACTGTGTCAAGCCTCTTCCCTGAGGGTCAACTCTTTCACTGACCCTCTCCACCTTTCAAAATATGATGTCTTTCTCCAGGAACTGGCCTCTCCTAACATGTTGCCCAGTATATGTGAGACACAGTTCCACTATCCTTTCCTCCAAGGAGAACCCTGGCTGCACTTCCTACAAGATATATTTGCTCTCTTGGCGGTGCATGGGTTAGTCAGTCCTCTTCTCCAATAAAACCTCAAATGTGCCCATTCCTCCTGTGCCAGGCATATCAAGTGACTCAAAAGACCATGGCTTAACTCAGACGCACCTTACTCTTTAAAACAAAATTATCATCATTGTACTTTAATACCTCAGAGAGCTCCCTGACAGCAGACTGACCCAATGCAGTAAGTCTTGATTTCTTGGGTGTTGATTATGGATCCAAGAAAGATGAAAGCATTGACAACTGCAAGCTTCTCTTTATCTATTGGCCCTTTTGTCTTCCTGATGTTGAGATGTAACCCATTTGAGTCTTTGATCTTACGCTACAAGCATTTCAAGTCCTTTCCACTTTAGACAAGCAAGGCTGTGTCATCTGCATAAAATAGGTTGCTGATGAGTCTTCCTCTTATCCTGATGCCACACTCTCCTTCATAAAGTTCACCCTCTCAAACGACTTACTCCGCATACAGCCTGGCTGCACACTTTTCTTGGCTTGAAACCACGTACTGTTCCTTTGCTTATACAACAGCTTCTAAGTATAGGCTTTGCATGAGCACAGTTAAGTATTTTGAGATTCTCATTCTTCTCAATGTTAGCATAAAGTTATTTTAGCTTCCTCTTACCAACGCCTCAATTTTTCTACGTGTGAAAAGGAGAGGCAAAGTTTAAGTCACAAAATGTTTCTGCTTTCATAAGGAATCTAGTAACAGCCCTGAACCAAACAGTCCTAGATGTTCTAGCTTTTCCCTGAAGATCTTATACAACAGGGCAGAGAAGAAGAATGCTTGGGGGAAGGGGCGCGGGAGGCGGGAAGTGTGCACGCACGCGTACACGCGCGCGTGTGTGTGTGTGTGTGTGATGTGAAAGAGAAAACAATTACATTCTTACAAGACAGAATTTATAACAACATGACATTAATAAATAATTGCTAATAATATTCTAGCTGACATTTTCCATGGGGTCAAAATTAAAAATAATCACCTAGAGTTGTAAATCCCAAAGAAAACAAGTAATCACAGTTATAGATTTAGACAGCAAAACATGATGCTCATGTCACACTCATTAAAGATCAGCACAAGTATTCCTCATGTGCACACAGGATAAGGACTTTGTTTTAAAAAGCACAAAGACTCAGTTTTAAAGAGAGTTAAAATTTGGACACTTTAAAAGAAAACAGTAAACAAACATGGTTAGTGTTAAAACGTGACTTTTAAAAGGTTAAGAGATTTTAAGATTCAGAACCAGTTAGCGCTCAATCAAAATATAATTCAGTGAATTTTCAGACTTTGCATAATAAGTGTGGCCTAATTAATCAAAACAATGATTAGTAAGCCCCAATGAGAAGCAGTTACACCACAGCAAACAGAAGGGAATTACCTCGTCTTCGCCCATAACTCCTCGCTGCGTGCAAACAAAGGACAAATTGTCAAATGTCAGAACTCAAAACGAGGCCACATGCACAAGTATCTGTGACACGAAAGGCTCAGTAGGCATCTGTAAATTTTTGCTACTTTAAAAGTTATGACAATGATGTCACTATATATTTGCATGATAGCTTACCATTTACAAAGTGTTTTATGTAAAATATCATCAGCACTGTAGTAACAACTGTGAGATTAACAAGAAACATACAACTAATTTACTATCATCTAATCGTGTTAAAACCACAAATAAAAATTCACTGTATCATCCAACTAGAGATATGCAACACTTTATAGTTAAATAACACCCCAAATCAATGGAAAAAAGGAGAATTTCATTCTAATTTAACCACTTCTTTTAGAGTTCTAGGTCATACAATGCAAAAATAATACATTTCAGAAACAATCCGTACATATGAAGGCCTTGCGTGCAATTCCGAGACAAACCCATGTATGAAGCGCAGAAAGTCCTGGGAGACTGGAGAGACGGGGAGGCGAGAACAGTGCTAACTAATACTCAGCACCTGAACAGCTTAGATGTTGTTGTTAGGTCCATGAATCAAGCCTAGTCTGAGTAACTGCCCTACAGACGATGGCTAGAGGAGGTACAACATCAAACTGTCCCAGTTAAACCTGTCTGGTGAAAGCAACGCTAAATGCTACACAGTAGGCAGTGATTTTCCCACTGCTCTGATATCCTCTGGGAACAGTCACCCACTGAACTGAACACGTCTCCACATCTGGCCTAAGAGGTGTGGATAGAGATCAACGCCGTCACAGACCTTTGTGTGCATGTACAAACCAGAGAAGCATGAAGATAAAGGGATTTCAGTCTATGTTACTTTCATTTACATATTTTCTTACAAAAGGAAAAAAAGACTCCAATTTTTTTTTAAATATAAAGCTATCAGTTTGATAAAATTCCTGTTGTTTTTCAGTAATACCCCAAATTTGGGTATACGATAAACATTTTTACTAAAATAGTCTATGAATTCAGGGCAATAAACCAAGCTATTAGAAATAAGATTATAATAAAGGCTAAGAATTTTCAGATCTGGAGGGAAATCAATATCGAATAAATTTCATATATGCATTAAGTATCTGTCAGATATGTATTCTCTTCCAAAGGTTAAAATCTAAAGATCAAAATAAAAGTTTTCACTGTTAAATATAGTTTCTCTCATAAAAGTTTTCCAAAGTACATGTAAAGGTTTTCCTATTTCAAAGTGGGTCTCTGAGAAGGATACAGCTGATGCTTCTAAAAGGAGGGAAACCAGTCAACCCCCTGCGTTATCTGTACTGATAAACTACAAGCCATGTCAATAAACAGAAAGGCTCACAGCACAGCCTTCCAGGAAGGAAGTACATCTGCATGTGGGCCATCCCAGTGTCTTTATTTAGAGATATAATCTACTGGAGATTTAGCAGGTCCTTGAGCTCTAAGTATCTTAAAGCCTGACAGATTTCATAGCTTCCCTGACCTATATATTTGTTTCAGATGAGGATGTGGGTAGATGTGACAACTAGGTATTTTATTTTCTATGTCTACAACAACGTCTTCTAAGACTTCAGGGGGTTAATATATTTTTTTAAAAAAATATATAAAAACAGGGTCCCAGAGATAGGAGATCAATTGTGGAAAAAACACAGATAAAAGTAGTTTTAACAGGAACAGGCTACAGAACAGAGCCTGTAACTAAGTCAGTCAAGTTCTGAGATCTCTTCAGCGGTCCTAAGCCAGGAAATGTCAGAAAGCCCCCAAACGTGGCAAAACAAACAGCCTCAGGAGGCGAGCTTCCGGCTGCTCCCGGGGTAGGGTCTAACCATCGACTCCTCCAGGATTGATCTGTTTGGGTACTTCTATTTCTGGGTACAGAAGGTCAAAGATTTAGAAATCAACAGAAAGCTCTCACCAAGTTTACACTGAAATGACTAATTACTATGAAGCCATAATGGGACACAGAATTCTAAGATCCTTTGAGAAAATTCATGACATCATAACCAATTTTGAGGCATAGCTGTTGTGTTTGTAGGTGAGGCTACTCAATACCAAAATAGTGACAGTTTAGACAATGTTCATGGCATCTTAAGGTTTCACCTCATTCCCAGGCCTGGACATCATTATTTAGAAATTTTCTCCAACTATCTCATACCTGAGTGATTTTAGAATCCTGTAAAAAGCTATTCCACTTATTTTTTGGCTGGCTCACAGATTCCAAGCTTCTACATTACCAAAAATAGAGCTGACTGCAGAAGCAGCTAAATTATGTGAACCATTTCCTATTCCTTGTCATGGAAATAACCAAACTGTCACCATCACACTAAACAATGGCTTGTGCTTTTACTTTACTACTAAGGTTTAACTTCAACAATATGTTCCAATGCAATCCTAATGCACAATCAATGAACAAAACCCAAAACAAACAAAAGCCAGTGACAAAATAATTAAGGTTAAACATACCATAGGGCTATATGCTTGGTTTTTTTTAGAAGACTTCTTTAAAACAATATGCCTCTCCAAATCCATTAGAAGCAATTTGATTCACCAAAATTATATTTACAATACTAAATTTCTGGTACATATAAAGTTTTTTTTTTTAAGTACACATGATTTACACAACAATTATAAAAGAGAAAATGAATCAGTGCACACAGGAGAGGAGAGGAGAGGAAGGGAGGGGAGGAGAGGAGAAGAGAGGAGAGAGGAGAAAAAAGAGAGAAGAGAGAGAGAAGGTTGCGCAAAACCGAAAGATTCTTCGTAATCCATGTGATCTTACAGTTTGGTACCAGGGTCCAACAGTCTTATGTGAACACTGGGCCAGGGAACACACCTCCCAAACAGCTACCTACTCCATTCACTTCCACCAGCATAAAAAAAGAGCTCACAAAGATGAAGACTTATCCAGGTCCACTATTGCCATGCATGGCTTTGTATACTGCATTTTGAGAGTCCTGTCTTCAAATAACAATAGACACAAATAATTTCCTTGCTATCCCAAATACAGCATGCTTGCCATTTTATGTGTATAGCTTTACATGTATATAATTAAGCAAAACTTCAATTTAAAATTAGCTTGCTAATAATATCCCTATATTTCTGCTCTATTCCTTCCCTTTCAAAAAAGTGGGGACGCTAAGGTCCAATGCTACACAAACCCAAACAAGGGCCTGTCCTTGTCTACTGTGAACTCTTTAAGTTCTGGAATCAACCTCTAGTGGGTTTTCAGAGGCAGTGCATTGCGCAGGAGGAGACGGTCCACCTTTCTCCTACGGAGCAGCTGGAGGATCCCAACCACGTGCCTTCAGGCTGGCAGTGCAGTTTCTTACCACTAGGCCATCAAATGGAAAAAAATGCTCCCTGCTTACATATAAAGACTCCAGACTGTGACAATAACAATTGTCTCAAGTTTATTCCTCAGGAAATGGGAAGATAAAAATGACACAGAAGGCACCACAATCTCTGATCCCAAAACCTCCTCCAGTCATAGCAACTGAAAAGGCAAAGATCAAATGGGAAACAACATCTTCCTCAGCAAATGGTACAGAACCCGCCAGAGGGTCAGCTGTGTGTTAATTCTGACTTGACAGAATCTAACAACTCCAAAGTCCACAGTACTGAAGAACAGGTCCTGGCTTGGATTTGCTTCTTCAGCACGTGGCATTTTTGATAGTAGAAAATATTAACATTTACATCCATCACTCTAACTCCAGCAAGCACTTGATTATTTATTTTCTTTTTCATACAATTTACAGGTCCCCTAACCTGCTCTAGGATGCTAAATTTAGACTCTTCTTACAACACTTGAATTACTACGTTGACCGTCTTTACCAGCCAATTCATTCTACTACTTTGAGGAAAACAAACTCTTCAGAAGTAGGGGCTTGTTTGCAGTTATATTACTATGGCATTTAAAAGTATTTTTAAAATCTACCATTTCCTGTGACAGACAGGGCTGCCTTTTCTTCTAACTGGCACTGCATAAAGGCTCAGAGCTAAGGCTTCCCTAGATGCACTGCCTGGTATCCCCTCTTCTGAGGAACTACTCCATTTGTGCTCCAGTCTCTGTCACTATTAGTAAGAAAATTTACAAGTTTAACCATAGCTGTTTATTCATCACTGCTGGAGTAGGAATCTGTTTCAATGGTACACAACAAAGCAGAGCCATAAAACTAATATTGGTGTCATGTCTGCATTTTACTATTTGTCATGACACTATATGTCACACCTGCAATGGTATACATATGCAGGCATATAAATATATTGTTTAATCAGATGGATTCAATCCTAGAATTCCATATTCCTGCCACTTACAGAATGCCTTGTTATGTTAGGCTGAACTGAAAGGTTGGTAGTTCAAATTCACCAGCTGCTCCATGGGAGAAACATAGGCAATCTCTTCTCAATAAAGACTGACTGTTGTAGCGTCGAGTCAGAACCAGCCCACAGCTAAGCCTTCTGCAGGTTTAAGAGGTAGTTCATCGCACAGGAAGAGGTTGCCCATCTTTCTCCCGCAAAGCAGCTGGTGGATTTGAACCAAGTACCTCTGAGTTGGCAACACAGTTCTAAGCCATCTTTACGAGTTCCCTCATAAAGATTCAGAGCTTCAGACACCAGATGACAGATCACTATGAACTAAAGTCAACTGGACATTAGTGGATGTTTTGGTTTGTGTGTCTATTTTTCTACATGACACCCTCTAATTGTCACGGGCATTTCTTTTAACATCTACCTGTGGACATCAAGAGTCACACGGGGCGTCACCAAAGGCAAGTGTTCTGCACCTGAGGGAACACTTGTCTGAGGTTATTTAGCTTCCTTTTACTGCCTAAATTTCCCCTGTATAACACCTACCAAATGGCTCCACTTCAGCTTTCTATAATAACCTAAGTCATTTTTGTTCACTAGGACAGCTTTTGTTATTTCTTGACTCTTGAGATAAACATTTCCTTTACACAGGCTTTGATTCTGGCCCTCTGGGTACCATGGCAGCTTACATTTGCTGTCAGGCAGTGTTGTAAGGATGTGGCGGGAGTGAACCCACTCTTCTGAGGAGTGGAGTGTCTTAGCTCTAAACTGGACATAAAGAAACTGAGTCAACGGGAGGTTAGACAGCCTGCTTGAGGTTACACAGGCAGACACAACAGACCCATTCGAGTACCAATCTACAAGAACTACTGTTAAACCATTCCTACTGTGCAATTTATTGATTTTCAAAATCCAGTTCGATCACCAAGGCCTGTGGCTTCAGGAAACAACTCAGTCAAATGCCTAATTGTGAGTTAAATCTCTCTCTCTCTCTCTGACATACTAGAAGAGAAGGAAAAAGGATCCTTCGCTTCAAAAACATAACTAATTTCTGATTCTGACAGTGATCCCAAATGAGGAAAAGAATTTTTTTTTCCTTTCTAGATGAAAATTATGTCTTTTATTGACCTAAAAAAAAGTCTGCTGTCCTAGTTTCCATTCTTTATCTCCCTTCTCTAGTTCTTACCAAATAAAGTTCTAAATTCCCAAATGGTTTACTATACCGGATAGGCACTTTGGCCTCAAATGGCTGGAAATTAAAGGCGAGTGACTAGTCAAAAAAAAAAAAAAAAAAGCAAGCAAGCAAAGTTCCCAAGAACTCCCGCCTGGAATACGCACATGTCGACCAGGTGATGAAACAAGTTTCACCTTATTATTTTAAATAATGACAAGTGATATAACCAAAATGAGCTATACAAACAGTGTGGCTGCGAAGCCTTTTGTTGGTCCATAGCTGACTTACTTTATTGTGATTACACATAGTTCTGGATCATTCTGTCTCATTATCCACTTAAAAATCTCAGAACATTTGTGAATGATTTAACAAATTATCTCACAGAGGGTATGATGCCATCAAGCCGATCCGGCCTCCTGGCGACTCAGGGGACTGAGCAGAAGGGTCCTGTATCCTTCCTAGGGCTGCAGTCTCGACGCCATCAGGCTGCCCTGCCCTTCTCCGGTGTCACCACCACCCTCGGACATCACGCTACCGGACTGAAACACCTCGGGTTGGCGGCCCAGCGCTTTGGCTACACAACACTTTCCTTTATACAGATTTTAACTAGATGTGTAAAACATCCTTGAATTAATTTTTCTTTCCCCCATTGAATAGTTGTTCATTGACAAGCATTCAAGGAAGTTAATATCATTTTATAAATTAAGTCAAAAGAGTAAGAAGACTTACAAGCTATCTTCAGTTTTCTAAACAGGATGTCAATAATGTCATTTTAGTCAAATTTAGAGTTCTGACTCTGATACCACATTCCCTGCCTGCGGCTCACCACCTTCCCCTCCCCCGCCCGCCTCGGTATAAACTACTGAATGAAGCAGTCCTGGAATTCAATGCCTAGTACCTTTCTGGTCAAAGTCTGTGTAAACACAGTCATTTGCTGAGCTCATGAGAGGCCTGGAAAGGCTGAGGCCCTGGAGCCTCCTCCCTTTATTTTCACCCTGCTGTCACTGCAACCTTTGTCTCCCAGCTCACTGCTATCTTTTGTCCAACAAAGGTCTAGCTTAAAGAGAAGAGACGAGCTATTCTAATGATACTATGTTTTTTGTAAGTAAATACTGTCTCTTACCGTGTACTCCTTCTCCCTACTTCCTTCACACTACCCACGCTCAGGTTTAAAAATACATTAATGAAGGGTATTTTAATCTGTGGTCTCTACGCCCACAGTCATGGATAGGCAGAGTACCACTGGGATTCTCTGGAACCATCAATGTTTATTCAATCAAAAGGAGGGGAGGGGAGAAGAAAATACCCAAACCAGAAAACAAAAGACCGCCAACAAAACTTATTCTTTTTCTGACTCTAGTAAATTTTATTGTCTATTTTCTAGTTAGAATAACTTACTACTATTATAGTATTATACCGTTATATTTTCCTGATTCACCAGTGTATTTCTTAAATATAGACACAAGTGCTATTGCCAAGTTTTACTAACTTTACAAACATCTCTTTTAAAGCTCCTAATAAACTCTGTACATGGGGTAATTGGGATGGGTGTGTCAGAGGCAGTGCAATTGGCACAGGATAGAGAAGGGTTTAGGGCTGTTGTACAGAGGGTCGCTATTAGTCGCAAACAAAGGCGCATTACAACAACAAACTCTGAGACTGTCATTTTCATTTTACATTTGGAGAAAGGGAGGCTCAAAGGAACAAAGCCAACTGCCCAAGTTAATACTCAAAAGACATTATTCAAATGGAGATGTCCTCAGTCAGAAATCACTGAATTAAATCAGACTGCCACAAACACACTCATTTAATAGCTATGTGATACAATTCACCACATAAGATCAAATCAATTTCCTAATTTTACGTTTCATAGAGAGTCATAATAATAGCTTTATTTTATATTTAGACATGAATAACTGTGGGAAGTTACAGAAAAACATATTCTGTCATTTTATTTATAAAAATCAATCTAAAACATAAAATATCTTTTAAAACTTACCATTTAACATCAACAGATTGTCGGTCCCTGGATGTGGATAGCTCAAGCGACCTTTAAAACAAGACAGGAAAGGGAATTTGAGGATCATGAAGCTATTTGAAAATGCATGGGGGTGAGTGAGAAGGGAACTACCACACAAAGTATTCTTCTTAAGAATTAAAAACACTATGTTTAACTCAATGTTTACTAACTGAAAATCTCTGACTCAAGTTGAACAGAAGTAACTTTAGTTTCTAGCCCTTAAGACCACAGTGTGGCTGGGAGTGATGCTGGCAGAAGAAAGCCAACCTGTGCTTCATTTGCTGGCTTTCTGTTTTGTTTCTTTTTAAATGCAGAAACAATGTAGGTATCCTAACCTTTCAGAGGTCAGTGTGTGATGCCAATTTGACCAAGCTTTTCCAAGCTGCATATAATTTTTTAAAAATTTCTCTACAAAACTATTTTTCTACAATAAAATATGAAGGAAAACAACTAATACATTAAATCCTATTTAGTTTTCTACAATTGTATACAAAGAAGCCTGGAGCACTGGTGGTATAATGCATAGCATGCTGCAGTGCTCACTAGAAGTATGGCAGTTCAAACCCAGCAGCTGCTCTGAGGGCCGGGCAGTCTCCTCCAGTTAAGATTTATCATTATGGACACGTGATGATGGAAGGCTGTCTGGAGCTGGACTGGGCTCCATGGCAACAGGTTTGGCTTTCTGGTTTACAACGGAAACGTCTTAAATGTATCACTATAAACACTGCTGGAAATTTACCTTGAGCAAAGTTCACTCGTGATTCTAAAATACAAACACTAAAAATCAAGAGCATTTACAAAATGTGCACTGTGGCTTACATTAGAACCAGGACTATGAACCTGTTCTTCTAGGTGTGGTCATGGCAGAGGAAGTAAAATCACAATACACCTGCATGTTTCAAACTGTGAAATGTAACAATGATAGGAATGGGGAAATGGCAGATAAAAGGCTTCTTAGAAAACAGGACAGCAAACAGGGTCTGAAACAACAGTGCTCCAACCAAAGATGGCAGGCAACAACCACTTCTCTGAACTGCTGATTTGTGGTGAGCAACCAAGGGTTTATCCAGTGTCCTTAGGGATTTATCTAGAAACTGTGTGTGAAAGGCCTACACATATATTTCCTTTTACTGGAATCCATTATGTTGCATTGGACAAATTTACCCTATCCTTAAAGGGAGTGAGATGTCCCTTTAAAAAACAAGGCAACCTAACCCTAGCCATGATGTTTCCAACTGGCTCATACACATACAAAATCTAGACAACAAATAAGGAAAATTAAAGAGGTGAGGTTTCTGAAATATTGTGTAGGTGGACGATGTTAAATAATACAGCATGGAGAAAAGAACCCCCAGCTTTCTCCTTAGAAGTGAGAAGACTTGTTCCCACATAGTTTGGCAGGTTATCACGAGGGACCAGTCCCTGGAGAATCACATCATGCTTGGTGAAGCAGAGGCAGGACAACAGGAAGGCCCTCAAGAGAATGGACTGACACTGCGGACTCACATACAGCAAGCAGCATGAAGACCGTCCAGCCCACAGCAGTGTTTTGTTCTGATATGGAACTGACCCACAGGCACAAAAATACTTAATTGTGCTTATGTGAAACCTATACTTCGACCAGGAGGCAGTTGTCAGAACAGAGCAGGGAAACACTGCATGGTTCAACATTGGGAAGGGTTTATGTCAAGGATGTGTCCTATCTATCTCCATACCTTTTCAATCTCTATGCGGAACAGATTATCCAGGAGGTTGGGCTCTATGAGAAGAAAGGGGACATCAGAAGTGAAGGTAGACTCATCAATAATCTGCATTATGCAGATGGCACAGCCCTGCTTGCTGAAACGGAGAAAGACCTGAAGCGCTTGTTGCAGGTCAAGAATTTCTACCTTCAATATGGACTGAAGCTCAACATCAAGAAAACAAGATTCTTACCACTGGGCCAATTGGCAGCATCACAATGAGTGATGAAGAGGTTGAGATTGTTGACAGCTTCAGTTTGCCTGGCTCTACAATCAACACTCTTGGTACCAGCAGCCAGGAAATGAAAAGATTAATAGAAGTGGAAAAGTCTGCTGTCGGAGACCTCGCTAAGGTACTGAGGAGCAACGATGTCAGTCTGGAGACTAAGGTGCGCCTGATACAGGCCATGATCATTGCAATCACTTGTTATGCATCACACAGCTGGACAATGACTAGGAATGTTAGGAGGAGAGTTGATGCTTTTAAGCTTTGGTGCTAGAGAAGAATACTGAATATACCACAGACTGCTTGGAGAACAAATAAGTTCATC